TTGCTGCAGGAGGCGGAGGAGCGTGACTCATCTTGGAGGATTTCAACTTTGCCTGAGAGGCCGCGTCTTCTTCATCAGCCGCTCCTGTCATGGATGGAGGCCACTGCGCTGAGCTGGTGCTACCAGAGGGGGCGGTATCATCTGGGGATGTGACCTCATCTTCATCATCTTCAAATGGATTCAGGCCACGAACCGCAGCTTGTTTCGTCCCCGAGCCGCCGTGTTGAGGACCTCCTCTGGACGCGGGTCTGGACGGCGCCGGACGTTTCCCGCGTTTTGCAACAGTTTCTGTTTCTTTGGCGAAGCTTCTTTTTTCAAAGCTCTCTGTTTTCCCTGTGTTTGACGGCTTTACCTCCACTGAACACCAGGGGGCGGTGCTGGCAGTTCCTGCTTCTTGTTCATTGCTCTGCTTGTTTAATTGTTGCTGATGCGGCGAGGGAACTTCCTGCTCCCGAGGAGTCGCAGCCACGTTCCTTCCTGGAGGAGTAGGAGCCGGACGCTTCTCCCGCTGAGAACCAATCAGCTCTTTGTTATCAGTGGACGACACGGCAGGAAGGAACCTGGAAAAGAGACACCGACTACGTCTTTATTTTTAATTTATATTAGAAGATGAAGAAAAAAAAAATCCACGACCCTTGACCTCGTCGATCTCCTTTGATCTGTGTGTTCGGTCACCGACTGTAACTCGAGGACAAGTGTTGAGTTTCTCTCCGCCTCCACCGACTGTAACTCACGTAAACAAACACAGGCCGATGCAACTTTAATGAGGCTAAAGCTCTGGGTTTCATTTAAATGAGGTGTCTGGTGTTGTGGAGCTGAGGATTGTCCGCCCCCCCTCCCCCCCGATGGGGGAGTTCTCCTCCTCACCCTCCTCACCCTGGGTAACACATGACACGAGCTTTAATTCCCGTGTGCAGCAGCATCAGCAGTTTTCCTGGTCGACGTAGAAACACGTTCCCTCGCTGTTGACTTTTGTTGTGTCACCCATCGTATCTATTAATATAACATTATGGATTTCCGATAATATCGGCTAACAGATATTATCGTCCGATATTAGCATAATTAAGTAATGTATCGGCAAGAATCGTTATAACGTAGAGCCTGGGTCAAACTCACTATTTGTAGATAGATTACGAAGTATTTAACTAAAAATGTAAACGCACTCCTCTGTTGAAGTCAGTTTCATTTTGGTGATGTCATGCTGCTGCTGTTGTTGTTGTTGTTGTTGTTGTTGTTGTTGTTGTTGTTGTTGACCCGTGCTCCGTACAGAAATACGTTTGCCTTTAGCGATAAATCCAAATAAAACTGCGTGACATCACGACTGCGATTCTGTCGCAGCTCATTTGTTTGAAAATGACCAAAGTCAAGCCGACTTCAGCATCAATTTTCTGGTCATTTTTTACACCAACGTTTCTGAACATTTTGCTCTGTTTTTAACCAGTTCTGAGCAGAAATCGGTTTCACGTTTCTTATGTTTGGACAGTCGTCAAACGTAGCTGTCGTGGCTATAATTTAGCTCGGAGGAAAATGTCAACATTTGTCAGAACATAAACAAACATCAAAGACGAAGGTGAACTCACCGTTGTTGGACCGTCGACACGTTCCTGTTGTTCTTGTCGACTTCTTCTTCAGAGACAACGTTTGAAACACGTTCATCGAATGGATTTTTAGACGCGACGGTCGAACTCTTCTTCTTCTTCAGCGTCTTTTCCTCCGTCTCTCCAGTAGATGGCATCGTCGTCTTTTCTACTTCCTCTTTTCTCTCTTCTTTTATCAACCATTGGTTTTCTTGGTCGTCTCGTCTTCTTTTCTCTTCTGCCAGTCTTTTATTTTCTTCCTCCTCCCTCCTCATCCTCTCCTCCTCTTCTTGTCTCCTTTTTTCGTTTAACATTTGTTCATATTCCATCTTTTCTTTTCTGACCTTCTCTTCCTCCTGTCGCCTCATCGTCTCCTCCATCCTAACCTTCTCCTCCTCGTCTTGTCTCCTTCTTACCTCCTCCATCCTAACCTTCTCGATATCTTCTTGTCTCCTTCTTGCCTCCTCCATCCTACCCTTCTCCTCCTCTTCTTGTCTCCTTCTTTCCTCCTCCATCCTACCCCTCTCGTCCTCCTCTTCTTGTCTCCTTCTTACCTCCTCCATCCTATTCCTCTCGACATCTTCTTGTCTCCTTCTTACCTCCTCCATCCTAACCCTCTCGTCCTCCTCTTCTTGTCTCCTTCTTTCCTCCTCCATCCTACCCCTCTCGTCCTCCTCTTCTTGTCTCCTTCTTTCCTCCTCCATCCTACCCCTCTCGTCCTCCTCTTCTTGTCTCCTTCTTGCCTCCTCCATCCTAACCTTCTCCTCCTCGTCTTGTCTCCTTCTTACCTCCTCCATCCTAACCTTCTCGACATCTTCTTGTCTCCTTCTTACCTCCTCCATCCTAACCCTCTTGTCCTCCTCTTCTTGTCTCCTTCTTTCCTCCTCCATCCTACCCCTCTCGTCCTCCTCTTCTTGTCTCCTTCTTGCCTCCTCCATCCTAACCTCCTCCTCTTCTTCTTGTCTCCTTCTTACCTCCTCCATCCTAACCTTCTCGACATCTTCTTGTCTCCTTCTTACCTCCTCCATCCTAACCCTCTCCTCTTCTTCTTGTCTCCTTCTTGCCTCCTCCATCCTAACCTTCTCCTCCTCGTCTTGTCTCCTTCTTACCTCCTCCATCCTAACCTTCTCGATATCTTCTTGTCTCCTTCTTGCCTCCTCCATCCTAACCTTCTCCTCTTCTTCTTGTTTCCTTCTTTCCTCCTCAATCCTAACCTTCATCTCCTCTTCTCGCCTCCTGACTGTTTCCTCCTCTTTTTCACTCTTGTCCTCTTTAGTCCCCTCCTCCTCCTCCTCCTCTTCCTCCGTCCAGGGTGAATACTGTCTGGATCTCTGCAGTGACTCCACAGACGTCGGTGAACTCTCGGGGACGTCTTCCATGGACCCGTGTCCAGAGCTGGTCAGACTGAAGTTTGACCCGATGCGTGACGACCGCGTTGGCGGCTCCTCGCAGTAGACGTGACTCCCGTTGATGCACAGGTTGCTCTGGTCGCCGTCGCCGCCGCCGCCACCGCCGCCGCCGCTGTGTTTGCTGTCAGAGCTGCCGCTGCGTTTGTGGATTTTGAACTTAAACTTCTTTTTTCCTAAAAAAAAAATAATAGAAAAAAAAGAAAAAAAAAGGTCAAAGGATGTCGAACATATGGCCCGTGGGCCAAAACCGGCCCGCTTGATGAATTGCATAAAATGTACATGTCATTATGTTTTGATTCTACTTGACATCTAACCCGAGCCGTATGTGGCCCCTGAACCGTAGTTTGGAACTCCTGGTTGAAGGAGGTCACTCACCTTCAGAGAAGTCCACGTTGAGCCCGGACGATTGGCTTCTGCTCAGCGACGACGTCTTCGACGGCAGGACGGACATGGACTGAGACAGGTTCTTCTGCAGGTTGGACTTGTGCGAAAACAAAGACTTTATTTTATGTTTCTTCTTCTTCTCCTCCTTCCCTGCAGCTCCTTCCTCCCCTCCCCCCTCCTCCCCCTCCTCCTCGCTGTCCGTCAGAACCTGAGTGAATGACGGCACGATGTCCGACGAGGTGTCCGACTCCTTTTTCTTGCCGCGGACTTTGTCCTTGAACTTGCTCAGACGAGAGCGGGACTTCCCGGCGGCCGACAGGTCGAACATGCTAGCCGTCATGTTGTTCCTCAGGAACTGGACGTCCAGCAGAACCTCGCCCCGGTCTTTGTCCGCCTTACCACTTTTGTCCAGTAGTTTGAACCACCTGTTGAAGAGAAACAAGACATGTCGTCAGGTGTAAACCACGTTTGACCACATGTGGGCAGCAGACGCAACGACAACCTTAGGGCTGAAACTACGAAATAGGAGGAGAGTTTTAGGCCAAATTCCACAAAAAAAAAAACAAAAAACAGAATTCTACGACTTCACCGACTTAAATCGGACTTTTATCAATTTATGATCATATATGGTTTTACAAAAGAGATAATGCTGATTTTAATAAAACCTGTAAAAAGTTGCGATGGCGATAATATCGGCCGACAGAAATTAGCGTTTATTAGCAATTATTTAATATCTGTAAAATTCATTATTGATTTTTTCCCGATAACTCAATGCCTGGGTTTCGCCAAATGATGTGTGAACTAAAAATAGTTTTGGGGGAAAAACGGCTGTATATGAAGGTGAAAGCCACTAGAGGGCAGCATTGCACCTCTTTTTATTAATCTATTTTAATCATGGGGGAATATATTGGTATGGATATCAGAATCAAACATTAAGTGTTCGGCTAATATCGGATATCAGCAAAAAAACATCCCTTGTAAAAATAAAATCTTTAACAACTATAAATCCAGAAAACACATCTGACTGTCGGATTATTTATTCTTTAATCAAATAATTCTGATGAGAAAAAATCTGATCGTAGATTCATCACAAAGACAATCTTTTAACTCCCCGACTCTGGGTGAACATTTTACCTGCGGAAAAAATTCTAAAGTCTGAAGTTTGACAAACAATCAGAGTCACTAATCCACAAAATGAACTTGGAACCGATTTCCGAGCTACAGGGCGTCACACTGGGATGACGATTTCCTGGATAAAAAGCCCATTTTGTCGACAACTGAGTTGTGAAATTACAGCTACAGGCGAAAACATGTGAAAGGAGCAAAAAAATGGTATAAAACATTTAAAGGAATTTAATTCTCTGCAGAGAAGTTATAAATAAAAAAGACAAAAGTTTCTCATTTACTGAAAAAAAAATCAGTTAAATAGGAATTGTTTCAATGTCATTTTACAGAACGACAGAACGTTCTCAAATATAAATCACAGAATCGTCCATGTATAATCAGATCTCCGTCTAATGGAACCTGAGGTTTGATTATTTACTGTTGTGTGAAAAATATCACGATTTTTCATTTCTATCCTAACTTCCTGTCTGAGATATTTTGCAGTTTTTCTCTACCACAATAGCGCCCTCTGCAGGGGTGGAACGGGAAGCTTTGTTCTTAGACATACTCATCAATCGTAAGGTTAACAGGTTAAGACATTAGTAAAAACAACTCAAGTCGACGTGAAGCAGCGTCGTTGTTCACAGCCCAGGTCTGGAGATCATTCTGTCGACACTGAAGCTCAGACTTTATGGAAACTGTGACGATGGAACGAGACTCAGGAGGAAAGTCTGATGATTCCAGCTGCACTGGAGAAGTGACCATGAGGTGGTGCTGTTGAGTCTCACGGGCCTCATACATGACCCTCCCGGGTCACTGCTAACTACTGCTAACCACTGCTAGCTATTGCTAACAACTGCTAACTACTGCTAACCACTGCTAACTACTGCTAACTACTGCTAGCTACTGTTAACCACTGCTAACTAGGGCTAACTATTGCTAACTGCTGCTAGCTACTGCTAACCACTGCAAACTATGGCTAACCATTTTTTAACCACTGCTAACCATTGCTAACTACTGCTAACTAGTGCTGGCTATTGCTTAATACTGTTAACCACTGCTAACTATAGCTAACTGCTGCTAGCTACTGCTAACCACTGCTAACTGTGCCTAACTACTGCTGTCTGCTGCTAACAACTGCTAACTATGGCTAACCATTTCTAACTACTGCTAATCAATACTAACTACTGCTAAGTTCTGCTAACTACTGCTGGCTATTGCTAACCACTGCTAACTACTGCTGGCTATTGCTAACCACTGCTAACTATTGCTAACCACTGCATCAGTGAAGTCTTTTTCCAGTCATCACATGAAGCAGTGGTTAAAAAAAAAACAACAAAACTGAAGAGTCAGCGGAAAAAAAAAAACTGCCCATCAGGCAAAAAGTTGAGGTGGACGGTCCACGAGGGACAAACAACGACATCGGAAATCTGAATTCCTCAGGAAATGAGGAAAGGGGGAGAGAGGGGGGGGGGCTGCGTATGTGTTTCCTTTAGTAACTATGGCTCAGCATCTTTCATATGACTCAAAACACACACACACACACACACACACACACTGGTTTTTGTGTTCCCTAAGCCCCTCCCACTGACATTCCCGAGCCTCTTACTCCAACAGCTACAAACGTCTGATCTTAATCCACGGCCTCTGGTCTAATCTGACTGATTCTAATCCCACCCTTTAACACGAGGGGGCCTCTGTATACTGACCGCTTGAGGACAAAGAGCCCCCACAAAAACAACTACAACAACAACAAAAAAATGTCCCAACAAGTATAGCTTTATCAGCATACCACACACACACACACAAACCCATTCTCGTCTCCTGAGACTTTTTTTTTAACAATGAAATTATAAGTAAAACCTTCATTAAAGTTGGTCTAAAAACTTCCTCTGTGATCCTGACTCAGAATACGGGCGATGTTTTCCTCCCCCTCTCCCCCTCTTCCTCCTTCTTCTCCTCCTCCTCCTTCTTCCTCGGGAATGTCTCAGACATGTGCCATAAACAAACTGCTGGGGAGTGAATGTGAAGGTGGGGGGGTGAGACGGTGTGGGGGGGGGGTGAGTCGGAGACCACTGTACTAATGAATTCTGGGAAGAATTTTCACAGAGACATGAAACAACAACATCTCCACACCTTCATCCATGACGTTAAGGTTGTCGGTGCGACGCTGTCAATGCCCCGACTGGTGAAGAACTGTTTCTACCTCCAGTTCCGGTGTGATGTCACCGGCCCTGACTCTGAGTGAGAGTCAGTTCCACAGAAGAAACGTTGTGTAACTATGAAAACACTGTATTCACAGCAGAAAGGTTTGACTTCAGCGATGACCGTTACACAACAGGAAGTAGAATTATACTTAGTTTTCACTTTTATTTGGTCACTTCCTATGAGCCACTGAGCCACGTGTTTTTACTGCGACTTTTTTTTTTAGTTTGATATCATTTTACACGTTAATTCATATTTTCTAATATCAACTGTTTTCCTGTTCCTGTAGGGGTCACTGTTGACGGCTGTGGTATTTAAAACCTTAAAGTAATGGAACAAAAGGAAGAACATATTCTACGATAATATGATAATATTATTACAATAGATTTTATGCTAACAAACAAATCCAGGCTACGTAGTATCTTAACTAAAACTCCTTGTAGCGCAAAAGGCTAAACATTAGCAAAAACTCAGCAAAATAGCTCCAAAGTTGTTGAAAATATAAATATAAAAATGTCTTGTTCCAATTCACAGAGAACTGATGTTTAATATTTTAAATATTTTAAAAAGCTAGCAAATAGTTGTCAGAAAATAGCTAAAGTATAGCCTAAATGAGTTAGCCTACAAAGGCTAGCATGATGCGTCCATTTTATATAAGTCAGACAGCCACTAAAATAAGTTGGACGACTGTTGGTAATTCATTAATATTCTTATAATTAGCGTGGTAAGAAACTACCAATACGCCAAAATATTGCGATATTTCGATTCACGATATATCGATATTCTACGGCACTGTATTGATTTTTTATGAACATTTAACAGTCAAATATTCCTGGTGTTAAGATGGAACAACGTTCTGTGTTTACTTTGATGACAGTTTTACTACAATTAAATAATTAAAAAAAACTCAATACATCGTTGTGCCTCTAGTATCACAATGTATCGCAATATATTGTATCATGACACGTATCGTATCTCCAGATTATCTCCAGTACGCAGCCCTACTAATAAATAATATTCATATCCTACGTACTGTTTTTTTTTGTTGCTCAACAATAAAAACAAACATGAAAAAAGGAGAAGCAAAAAAAATGGGGAAGTTGCAGAAGCTAAAAGCTACGTTAGGATTTTGCGGTAGTTAAAGTCGGTGAAGGAGGAATTAAAAATAAGGCTAATTCCTGGTTCATGACGCGGGCTCTCAGCTCACAGAACCAGGACAGAACCAGGTCAGAACCAGGACAGAACCAGGACAGAACCAGGGGGAGGAGGATCAGACATGACCTGACGTTCTGTAAACTTCTCCTCCAGAACAAACATCCTTCCTGTGGCTCAGTGTGAGCTGCTGATAAGACCACGCTGTGAGAAACTCAGACGTTTTCTTATCATGAAACACATGCAGCGTGAGAGAAACAACCCAACTGTGGTGACGGGGTCCATGAACCAGGACCAGGACCAGTTCAGACCATCAGTTCACGTCTGAGGCCAAAATGAAAAGAAAAGAAAGAAAGAAAAAAAACTAAACAAAAAAACTGTTTAGAAAAGAATGTAGAAATTTGAAACCCGAGCATTTTCAAAACAACAGTCAAAACTGTAAATATGAATCAATGTGATGTTAGCATGAATGTGTTGTTTTGGTGTTAGCATTAGTGTCATTTTGGTGTTAGCATTAGTGTCGTTTTGGTGTTAGCATTGATGTGTTTTTCCTTCAACGTCAGAGCTAAAAAAAAAAAATCCAATTATTTTAAATCCCACAAAATCAATCAAAGTGTCGGAGGGAAACAGAACAGACTGAACGAAGCCAAACAATTAGTCAACATTTAATTCAGGAAATGACACCTGAAGGTTAGCTAAGAGTTAGCTGAAGGTTAGCCAAGAGAGTCCCAATTAAATTAAAAGTTTCAAAAGTCTAAAAAAAAAAAGAAAAAAGAATACGTTTTAAGCAACACTTGTATTTATATATATTTATGATTATTTGGGAAACTTAAAATAATACATTTTAAAAAATGCTAAAATATTTTATAAGCTAACATCTTAGCTTACAGACTAGCCTACAGAGTACTGATCTGATGCTTAAACTTTTATAAATTTTAAACTAAATAAGGAGAGGGAGTAAATATTTATTTTTGATTTAGTAAAAGAGATAAAAAAACAGAGAGAGAAAACTATTTTAACTTCTAAACCCTGTGTCGCGTCGTCGTCATGTGTCGGTCGATGAACGACCTTGTATCAAACTGTTTGTCTGAGTGAAGGCACAGCCGCGGAGGACGACCTCGCTGGACCGTCCCTGATGTCACTGTTTGTTTTTCCTCTGATAAGAGCGTCAGGAATGTGAGGCTGAAGCTCGACCTGAGGCTCAGAGGTGACATTTTCACAGGCTCACAGAGCGAGCGACGAAGAGTAGATGATGATGAAGTACAGGATTTGTACCACGAACCTCATTTTCTACCAACTAAAAACAACACAAAAACCTCATTTCCAGAGTAAGAAAAACACCATAAATCTTTAAACTAGCCTGCTGCCAGCTCCGAGGACCAGGTACCAGCGAAGGCCACTGTGGTTGACGGTGTCGACACCCAGGACTGTGACGGACACTAAACCAGCTGGACACGTGTGGACGCCTGCAGGGAAGACAGGAAGTCCTCGACTTACGACGGACTTACGTTCCTACGGTGCGAAGAAGTCGGAACTCACATACTGTACATCAGTAGCTACGCTAACGCAGTAGTGACGTCATCATCAGGGTCAGAAGAGTCTGTCTGACGCCTGCGAGTCAAAGATGAAGGGCAAAGAGATGCAGCGCGATCGACTTACGGAGGAGAACCAGCGAGAAATTATCGACACACTAAAATATTGTGATATTTAGTTTCCTGACACTGTAATCAATTTCCTTTTCTCACCAATTCCCAGTCAAATATTCCTGGTGTTCATTTTCTTTCTCCTCTAGTGATTCCAAATGTTGCTGTTTAAATTAGGGATGTTCGATATTAAGTTTTTTGCCGATATCCGATATGCTGATATTGTCCAAACAATTTCCGATACCGATACGGGCCTGGTTATATTTATTTATTTATCTGTACCAACCACTGTACGAGTATGAGATTAAACTGAATGAGCCGCAATGCTGCCATCTAGTGACCTTTACTTTCACATACAGCCCTTTTTCCCCGAAACTATTTTTAGAGAACACATCATTTGGCGAAACCCAGGCACCGCGTTATCAGGTTTTCATTATCAGAGGAAAAAGTGATAACGATTCTTACCCATATTACACGGTTATGCTAATATCGGGCAGATAGTATCGGTCGGCCGACGTTATTGGACATCCCTAGTTTAAATGTAAAAAAACTCAATATATCGTCATGCCTATAGTATCGCAATACATCGTAGTGTTACCCGTGCATCGTGAAACGTATCGGATCGCCAGTTTCTTGCCAATACACAGACCAGTTAACAGAGCCGTCTTTGTTGACGTCTTTGTTGACGTCTTTGTTGACGTCTTTGTTGACTGCGCTCGCCAACTAGCTAGTTGTTGTTGTTACACTGCACGTTGTAAAGATGGAACAAGACTTCGTTAGGGAGATGGAGGACGTCGTAAACTGAGGACTTCCTGTACGTATCAGCAGACGACTGACTGACTTTAATGACCGGAGCACGTTATCTGACGTACCCGTCGGTACGATACGATCAGACGGAGAGAGAGAGAGAGAAAGTATCCAGATATTCCTGTTACTGTAACTCCAGTACTTGGAGTTTTTTTTTTTTTTTAAAGAACTGATACTCTGTGACGTCAGAGACGGAGCAGGAAGGATTAGAGGCGACACCACGGCGGCACCGGCCCGGCCTGTAGAACACGTTCACTGCTCGTTACCCACAACAAAGCAGAAGTGGCCGTGGGATCACCACATACTGCAGTACTGTGTACTGCGTAGTACTGTGGGCTGAAGACAACAAATACCAGCAATGAAAACAAAGTCATTGTTTACATCTGTGACATCAGGGAGTTTCTAAAAAGAATTGACCTTTGGCCTGTTCCAAGACTTGAAATATAACAACAAGTGCAACGCAACATGGAGTGGTTCAAGTACTGGTGTTTATCCTGGAGGTCGCCGACCTTGGTTCCCCCCTGAGTCGCTCTCATTGGTCAGGTACTACAACAAGGAACTGATCCTGTTTCGGACACAACCGTTGCATTAGACCAAAGCAATCGTTTCCACACTCAGTGTGGGGCAAAACAAGCATCCGCTAACACCAGGGGGCACTGAGGGCCCACAGCCAGCTCTTGGCCACACAGGAAATTGCCTACAGCGCCACCTGTAGGAATTAGAGTTCAGTAGAGTTTTAAAGCAGAAGTCTTTAATATGTTGGGGGCGGGGCCGGAGTGGGAGGGGCTTCAAAAAAGTAATTAGCAGAATGAGTTAGAAACGCACAGTTACTGTTGCGTTGCATTTGTAACGACATTTTGAGCGTCACCGCAGATGAACAGGAGTGACACGTTCTACTCTGAACTACTGAGTACTCAGTACTTCAAACTGTATCAGTGGTGTGACTGACTGCAGCTGGTGGTTGGACCATGGACCTGGACCACGTGTGATGAAGAACAGCTGCAGACAGAGGGCGTGGCAGAGCGGGTGTGTTTGGAATGTAGCGTCCAGATTAAAACCAGTACAGATCGCAGTAGAGATTGCAGTAGTACACAGTAGTACACATCACTTCCTAGATATTGTGAACAATTATTTACTATAATTTCAATGAATAAACTGGAAATAAAAACTGCTTTAAGGAAAAACAAACAAAAAAAAAAAAATCAAAAACCAGAAATCTGAATTCAAATTCCGAGGAACCAAAACTGTTTAAAATTCACTGAAATAAAAACTCTGTTTGACTGACTGAAATTCTTCAAAATTCAATTCACTTGGCGGCCCATGTTTGGCCCCCGGGCCATGAGTTTGACACAAGTTCATTAATGTAAACGTTCAGATTCTACCTCCAGGGCTGGATAACGATGAGCAGAGAAAATAAAAAAAGTGTCCTGAACTCCTCGTCAGAGCTGCAGGTCTCCAACCTGCCACTGGAGGCAGTGTAACTTAAAGGAAACAACGGTTGAACTTTGACCTTCAGGTCTCTGTACCGTATCAACCAACCGTTGACGCAGTAACATTTTCTACAGAATCACAGAAACCTCCTAGCCTAGCCTAGCACCGGACGCTAAGTAGGCTAGCGGTGTGTATTGGCAAAAATCTGATGATACGATACGTATCACGATACGATATACTGCGATACTATAGGTACACGATATAGAGAGAGTATTTTTTAAAAATAATTTAATTGTAGGAAGTCTGTCCAACGGTAAAACTGGTCATGAGGTCATTAGTTCATACCCTGGTGGAAGTCAGTGGTATTACAGACCAGGTGTTGACGTGTAAAAGTTCATCATTTAAATCAAATACTACTGTAATACCAGCTCATTAAACTAAGGCACGAGGACGTTCAAAGTTTGTTTACAGCACCACCAACAGGAGGTTGGTGTAAGGGAGGCCGCATGCCTTATGTTTACCCACAGTTCAACACATACTTTTCAAAGCCTTACCCCCAACCAGCGGCGGGGTAAATACTGTAAGTCTGTTCAGTTTGGGCCCACCACGGACTCTTTGAAACCACACCCCCTGCAGGCCCTGGTGAGAAGTGCACTTACTCGGTCTTGTCTCGTGTCCTGTCCTCACTGAGCAGCGGCAGATCCACCTCGGCTTGTCCCAGCAGTTTGTCCGGACCAACCAGAGCCCGGTGCAGGACGTGGACGTGCAGCGTGCGGCGGTCTTTCCCTCCTCCTCCTCCTCCTCCTCCTCTTCCTCCTGCTGCTCCTGCCGGCGGCAGGTCGAAGGTGGCCTCCTCCTTCCAAACAGGAGCCACGCTCTTCTCCACCACGGAGGTCTGGAACTTCTCCTTCCCCACCTGCATCACCGCGTAGGCGTCGTTGGTGCCGCTCTTGCCCTTCGTCCTCAGGCCTCTGGCCTGGAGAACCGTCACCTGGACACTGGTCGGAGACCACTGCTGATCCATGAAGGCCATGCTGCTGTCACTGCTGCTGCTGCTGCTGCTGCTGGAGGACCAGGTTGTGCCGGAGAGCTGCGGTCGGAGGTCCATCCAGCACCGCTCCTCTCTGACTCTGACTCTGACTCTGACGGTGGAGGCAGAGAAAGTTTCCGCACAAACTTTGAGGAACCAGCTGAGTGGGCGTGGCTTCACAAAAGAGCGTGCGTTGAACTGGCCACGCCCACAGATTACCAGGCTCACAGCGTGGGTTTGTTCACACCGCGGCAGGTGACGTCTAATCGTGTGTTTTGACACCTGTCGGAGTGCATGACAACCAGTCCACGCCCACTACAGTCAGCTGAGGGTAGTGCACGTTTAAAGGAAAAGTTCAGGGTATTTTTTATTTATTTATTTTTTTTTCCTTTGGTCTCAACACAGACCAGAATACGGACCTTCACAAACACAAACACAGCTCATGTCAGTCCCAAATACAGTGTGATAAACTTTTGCAACAGAACAAAAAACAAAAACAAAACAAAAGAGAATAACAGACAGAGAAAGCACAGACTTTGTAGTCACGTGACCCACATTTTAAATATCTATAATAATGTCAATAATGTATTACCAATATAAGAACTTTATGTTGACGATACACTATTATTATTATTAACTTTGGGATTAGAGGAGGGATTAAATAAATTACTTCTTTTTCGGGTGTGTGAATGAAACCATGACGTGTTTTTATTTTTATTTTCTTTCATGTTTTGTTCTCTCGTATTGTCTGTCCGTCCGCTGTGTGACGTATGTGTGACGTATGTGTGAATGACTTTATTAAACTCCACCTCGAAGAAGCAAAGAAGTCTCTCGCGGTGACGTCACGGTGACGTCCACTCCACCTGCATAAACTCTGCGCTCTGATAACTGCGGACGTTTCCGGTCACGGCTCCGTTCTGTGAGGGATTTTCTTCTTCGTCCGTTTTAAACGGATTAAGACTAAAAAAAGGCTTCAAATGTTTGTTTGTTTGTTTGTTTGTTTGTGTTTGTAGCCCCTCGACGGTCTGTCGATTGTGTTTCAACTCTGGGATAAACCTTTAATATTAACGCGACGCGTCCTGCAGGGTGGTTTGTGTCTAAACACTGACACCTGCTGTTTAAAAAGGGGAACATGTTCACCTGCCGGAAGGCTTTTAATAGTACGAACTTCTGTAGCAGAAACACTCTTTAAATGTATCATTTAAAATACAAATAAATATAATTTAAAATAAAATAAACATTTAACCAGCTGAACGAGTTAATGTCAATTATAAATTGTTTTAGAATAGAAATTAAACTACAAATTGTAATGTTACAACACATATATACACGGTACGTGTGTGCATATGTATACATGTATACAAATAAATAATAATAATTATTATTAATAAATTGAAACTAAATTAATGAACTAAATTATAATTAAAAACAAATACAAAACGGAAACAGTTGACTGTGGTTCTTACTTCCCTTACATTATTATAATCCTACAAAAGTTTTATCCGTTGCAGTATTAGATTTTGAACACAAGATGGCAGTGTTTGACCTCTAATCCTTTGAACCAAAATTCATAAAAACTGTAAAAATGTCCGTGTTAATCGATGGTCGGAGAAAATATAAAAATAATAAATCAATAAAATTATATCACACGAATATGAGTGAAATATAAAATCAAACAAAAAATGTTTTTCTGTCAAATAAATAAAACTTTATTCATATAAACTCTGGTCGATGCTACTAGATGCAGTTGTTTTTTTTTTTTTGTCATGCATAGTTTAGACAAATAAATTGACAAATTCATTCTTTCTCTTCAACAGAATATGTTTTACATCAATGCATGCACACACACACACACACACATTCTAGTCAAGCAATAAATAAATAAGAACATGAGCTTCAGAAACACTGGACAAAAATAAATAAATAAAAATAATAAATAATTTTCAACAGGACTTTAAATTTATATTAGAAATATTTCTTTGGCTTTTAAAATAATATTTAAAAATATTCTTATATATATATGTTTTTTTATATGAGTTCATAATGACATGAAGAAGGGAACAACATATAAAGCAGTATTTTTTTTGTCTGGACCAGTTTGTGTGTGAGGTCGATGGTTCTATCGATCAGGTGTTAATAATAATAATAATACAAAAGAACACTGTTCTGACGTCAACACCAGGTTTAGACACAAAATCACACGACGAACAAACAGAAAACTCCAGCTCCGGCTCTGAATGAGTCACATGTTCTATTTCAATCCAAAAACACCGGAGGAGTTCATGCAGACGTTCAAAAACAGACCCACAGTCCGGACCAGTGACTCTCAGATCATCCAGCCTCCAGACTCACATTAGTCACGGTCTTTCAGTCATGACCCAGTTCTGAAGCACTCCGTCTTACTTGACAAAAAAATATTCCAGAAAATGTACAAAGGCTCCCCCTAGTGCCAGGGCAGGATGGTGCACCCTGATATCAAGGTTCGCTGCTCAGTTATTTCATCATTTTCTAAATATTCTCTCTCTGATTTATTCTCCAGTACAGCGCCCCCCCCCGACCCCCCCCAAACCTTTTTGGTACCAAGGACCGGTCGGCCGGTACCAGCCGTTACTGTGGACCAGTGACCAGTTCTAGGATCATAATTCTTTTTTCAATTAAACACTAAACATCGAAATATTATCTTTGAATGAAAAAGTGAAAAAAAAAAAGAAATAAATTAGAAAAACAGACCGATACCAAATGACATGCGGACCGGCACCGGTCCCCGAACCAGGGGTTGGGAACCCCCGGTTTAAGAAACTAATCTAACAAGCAATAAAAAAATAAATAAAAAAAAATCAAAGCTGAGCTGCACGTCCTGTTCTGGTACATTTTTTGGGTCACGGACCATAACTTGAAAACACTCGTGAGACATCGTTGGTGCATCAGTGCTACATTAGACATCATTACCAGCTCTGGTGTCTTCACCCAGCGTCGGTCAATAGTCTGCATATATATTTGAACATATATTCTTGTCAACATATTCTCATATTCTGTTCTTTGTGGTTTTTTTTTTTGGTTTTTTTTTTGGTCATTTATTTATTTTCAAACTAACGAGCAGCTGATAAATCTACAGAACGGCCGGAAGAAAAAACAACACCGACCACCAGACGCTGGACAGGGTCACGTGACGTATGTCCACACTGATGTATTGCGTTCCTGTTCTTGGCAGTTTTGTGTGATTGTAGAGCGCCGCCCTAGTGTTGTTCATCTTCTTTATGGCGGCTGTACGACAACAACGACGACGATGAATAAAACAGCAGGAGGTCGACGACCCGACGGCCACGGACGGAAAATATTTTTTTTTTATAAAAAATATACTCTTTAAAAGTCAGGACTGCAGCTGTTGGTGTCACTGATGCTGTGGTGGAGCAGCAGCAGCCGCAGCAGCAGCCGCCGCCGCAGCAGCCCGCGCCG